CTCTTCACAATTTGTTCAGAGTCAATGTGAATAAAATACGTCTTGTATTCAAGCGCTTTCATGTACAAAGTTTCGTTTGAATACGGCACAGAGGAGAAATATTTATTTTAATTTTTTTAAATATCGGATTTTGACTCGCACGCACGCGCCACGTTGATGCTTGACCATATTTTATAGCCGGATCGATAGTGTGAAATAGTGTTTTGGATTCTGGTTCCAATAATACTATTACGAAAAAGATATGTCCAAACGGGCCGAAGTTTATATGTTCGGCGAAATGTATGGCTATTTTACATTGTTCCTTATATTATGAAATATGATACCATACCTTTACTGCGCGAATTTTAATACATGTACGTAAGATCAGACCTTCCAACTTTGTGGCATGAAAATGAGTGAGATTTAGTTTTTTCCTGTAATCTGAGTGATATAGCCCGCCGACGCCGGGCTGGCGCCTGCCGTCGGCAGGCGTTAACCTAGGGGGGTTCGTGGGCATGCCCCCGGAAAATTTTTAAATCTGGAGTCTCTGAAATGTCATTTCCTGCATTTTGGGAGAAGATTAACAGAATTCTAAAGATACAAAAATGGCATTAAAAAATCTCAAAAGTAACACTTTTTGGACATCTACATGCAATTATAAGTTTCATTTATTTTTTATTTCGTTAATATTGTTTAAAAAGTAAAAGTCATTCTAAATTTAAATGTTAATGAGTTATAGCTTGCGCTTATGTGCTTTGTTGTATTCATAAGTAGCAGATTTAGCTGCTTTTAATGCGTTATCATGCCCACGCGCGAATAATGCTAATTCATCACACGAAATTAATAAGATTATAGTTTATATTTTACAAAAAGCGTTGTCTGGGGAAATCCCTCATTAACTATTAGTGTCAATTTACTAATTTACTAATTTGCGCAATAGTGCAACTTACGCAATACTATATGTTACACAGCAACTGCTCGAAAAATACTTTATTTTATAGCTATTGATTCAGCTAAATAGGAATATTTGCTTGCGAAGAGAAGCGTTAAAACAAAAGTTGGATCGCTTCCTATTTTTTCGCTTTTGCGTGAGAAAATAGTGTTTATGCGTGTGAGCGTGAGAAATATGTCAAATGCGTGTGTCTCACGCAAAATGCGTGAGAGTTGGAAGGTCTGTAAGATATATTGTCGGCATTTGGCTAAAACTATCGTAAGGAATTAGGAGATTTTGTTCAATTAAAACTACGTTGTGTAGTCAAATTGTCAACCTTAACTTGTCCTTGTTCATATTCCAATATATTGTATAAGTTCGCTGGGTCCAAATTTTGGGGTTTTCGAGTCGTTTAATACAAAAAGAAAAACATTAATTCAACACGTAAGAAAGTCCAGAGTGCGACACAAAAATGAACACAAGTACACATGTTTATGAGTCTACAACGTATATTTATAGTTGTTTATTAAAGTCAAACTGTCAAACCTTTAACTTGTGCTTGTTAATTGTATTCCGCTATATTCTATGTTAGGATAGGGAGATAGGGACTCAGGAGGTCTGGAACTGGTAATTGTGCGCGTGCGTACAAGTGTATGCGCTAATAAAGAAAGATGTACCACAAGCATGGCATGAGCCGGCTACTACGTACATAGATACGAGCTTGTTACGATGAAAAATAAATCAAGCAGTCGAGGATTCGATGGCATTTGAACCGATGGCATTTTGGCTTAATCGTTGCACCTTGAGCCTGCGATGCGCTAACGCAAACTCCATTTCTCGACGACGAAAACAGAAAACTAGGGATTTAAGACACTTGACCTTTCAGGTCAGTGTAATTATAGTTGACAGATTTATAATCCTGGCATCTTTCCAAACTGTGGAGGGATGCTTAGTTAAATCGCGAAACGAGATAAGAAATTGCCCATAAACATATCAACGGCCTGAGTTGTCTTATAATTAAGTGTGTTTTTCTGAAAATTCTGCCGTTTTCCCGAAAATATGACAATTAAATCAGAATGCGGATAGAGTAAACGCGGAATGTCGCGAGCAAAGCGGATTAAAGTACAAAACGCGGACATGAGTATATAATGCAAATGAACTGGGGTGCATGGGTGAGTGTTCATCGCAGAGGGCTTTGAAATACGAGAAAATTAAACACTTAAGCCCCAGCTTTATATTGTGAAATGGAGTCAATCAATTTCGCAATCGAAGCGTTAATTTTTTTAATGGAAACCCTAGTGTGTGTTGACGTACGAGAAAGCGTGTGACTCAAATTTGAAGCATGTTCTCTCTTGCATCTGCCATTGGAATTGACAGACGTGACCGGTTTCCATCCGATAAGAATAGGGGACGAATGTCATCAGACGAATAAATCTGAAAAATCCCCGAAACCCTCAAGCCCGTTTTCCATGTCGGCAAAAGTGACGCCGCCAAAGGACACCGTCGCTTCGCGCGAACAAATTCGCCTATATAGTGGAAAACGGACTTCAATTCCAGTCTATTTTCGAAGTTACCAGCTGAAACGCATCTCAGAATTGATTCGCGATCTGATATAAATTTAAGACCTGATTCTCGTCTAAATTTCCCGTAGTTTGGAATTAAAAGTTGGACGAACTTTTCCTAAAGTTATCTCGTCTGAGACGGCCGTGAATTCGACTATTAAACATTTTCTTGTGATGACCAGCGCCATTGGGGGCGTGCATTCTTAATTCTTTAATACCATTCTTAATTCAGCCATTCTTAATTCTTACCCACTGGCGTAAATATTTCAAGTATTTCGCAACAATCACAGAATCTGCTGAAGGTATACAAATTGTTTATATGTTAACAATTTAGCAATACTTCTCGGTATGACGTTCCGTCGCAAAAATAATATTTGCTTAGAGTAGTGTAATTGTCTTAGTAAGGTCCTACAGTGCTTGCTTATGGTATTTATTATTTATATATATTAGAACTTTTAGTCGTAGACTAGATAGATTTATTTTATTTTTACATTGATTTATGTTATATCTTTATTGGTATTAAGAAAAATGTAATTCTATAATGATAAATCAATTTCCTGAAGTCGACAATTTGAGGAAATATAAAATAAAACAAATTCCGAAAGATGAATGTTGTAAATCCATGATGATATGGTTTAAAATCAAGAGAAAATTTTATACGGTGATATGGTGCAGATACTTGATTTAATAATCCACATCTTCGGAAGTCGTATTATTTTGTTAATCCATAAACTCAATATCTCCAAGCGAAATGTTAGATTGTGAAAATCCTTACCACATAATATACACATTACGGTCATTGCCAAATTTGTTCCGGAAGGACAGGGTCAAATTCATAGCCGAAGGGCCTGGTTTCGGTCGGCATGTTACACAAGTTCCAAATTCAATTATATTAAGCGAACCCAAGATTAAGATTGCAATGCAGCAAATTCGGACAATATACGTTAATGAACTTATCATCTACCTGTCTGCCGCGGTCGGCAACATTGGTATTATTTTAATTAGCCATGAAACTGTTCAGGAGTCGCTTGCTATAGCTGGATGGTCATGAAACGATGCTACCTTCATGATCTAAGAGGCAAGTTCATGATGTACCTTCGATTCAAAACATCAAAACTTGGTATTAAGAATGCTGAAGTTAAGCCGATTATATACAGATGAGCGAGTTTTCATACGACAAGTTTTATTATTTACTCGGCTGTATTATGGACAGATACAATTGTTTAAAAGCTATTATGCTAGCTACTAAGTGAGCTAAGACCTTCTTGTTAAGCTGAAGTATAAATTATAATGATTCGGCATTACGTTTTAAACTCCTTCCTGTCCGAGTAATCCGACAAATGATTGACGGGCCACGCAGGTTAATTTATAATATTTGCCTAGCTGTGCAAACTCTGTAGCTCTATCATGCGTTCACTAATTGGGAAACCTGAGTGTGATCCGCATGCCCGCATTAAATTCAATTTGTGTTCATACGAGGAACGAGTCAGCCCGGCTAGCAAGGTGAGATCTCATCTTGTGGTAGGTGGGATCTCACTCAAGTGGGATTACATTTTGACCTATAATATATTATACTGGACAGCACAGTTGGAAAATATAAACAAAATATGAACATTAATAGACACTATTAAAGTCGTAATACAAGGTGCAATTTGAATTGTAATTACAACAAAAATATTTCGAAGACGTGATGTTTACATAATGTGGTCTCAGGGAGACATTGGGTGTGATAAAAACAGTCATAATGTGATATGAACACAGAAAGTAATTCATCACACATTCCCCCTCGGATGAGCTAGGCCCTCAAATGAACAGGTCCTCAGAAGTTAGGGTTTGTCTCGAGTCTGTTCCACACTGACGCTTATTGAAAACCAGTCAATTCACTAGGGTGTGGATGTGGTCTAAATCAAGTTGCATCGCACTGGTACACGGACTAGTACAAACTTAGGACTAAAGGTGCACTTAGTTTTTAAAAATAAGGGGCATGAAACACAGTATTCAAAAAGGTATCCGTTAAGTAACCTGAAAATACGAGTTAGAACAAAGATGGCACAAATAGATGCAGTGGAATCAAACAATCCTTAGACTTAGTTTCATCATATTTCAACATTCCAAGACATGCGAGGTTTACTTTGGAAAGGTTGCTGGTCATATGATACCTGCAAAATCCATTGCAATTTTCCTGTTCACTATCCCTGTTCATCAGTTTATGGCAAAATGTGAAAATGTATAGACTTAATACGTAAACTATTTTGCTGGAAAAAACCCGGAAGTACCAGACAGTAATATTGGCGTACCTCCGGTACGCAAATACGCGAATTATCGTATCCAGTTTGCTGAAATGTGTTTCACTAAATATGGTGTGCAACTCCCCAAGGAATGAGAATTATAGGTGTGACTATAAATAGTTCACTGTATGTATTGACCTTGGTTTGGTGGCAAATACCTGTAATGGTACCTTAGCGTCTTTTGTAAGCTCCCATTAATATCAATACATTCGAAGTTGGTAGGACCATAGGAAACGCTTACTGCCTCACAATAAAACAATGTATTTATAATAAAAGACACTTACCTAAGCGCCCACTATTGGACGAAGAACTGCTGGAGTCGTCATCGCTTGAGGATTCTTTCGCCAACAACGCTATGAAAACGATGCACAGTATCAACAATATCCCAGCAACAACCAGTAAAATCTTTTCCATTTGAGTACGGATTCGAAATTTTGAACTTTCAGAAAATCCAGTTAGTACTACTTCTGGATTCTGTTCTAGATGACCCATTCGCACTTTATCCGGGGCATAGCCCTCGTTATGCTGAGACATGATAAAGTTTTAGAATTCCTTTTCTTCAAATGGTTAGCTACCTTGTTGCACCGCTGTTTAAAGTGAGATCCTTGTCTCCTGGTGGGCCAGCCAAAGAGAGTTCAACTCGCCGGAGCGTATCCTGTATAATCCTTTCAGAGCTGAAACTTAATCCGACAGGAAAGATCGTTAAAATTAAATTACAATTCAGTCATTCTTGCCGAAACTTGGATCGAAAAAGACTGGACCGTAAAAGTTTGGATCTGGACGCCCAAAATCCTGGAAAAAAGCTCCATCGTCAAAGTGGAAAAACTTTGACTCAATTTTTCATTTCAAATATATCCAAATTGTTATATTATATACTTCATAATTATATGTCTTTTCACATTAATAGAGTATTTAAAATTTTCATATTCTTCAATCCTTTCCACCAAAATCCAATATTTATTATACCGTATTTCTAACATCGAATCACGTATTTAGTCGTTTAAGCACCGCTGGGCTTTTTAAATTTTCAGCGATTTGACGAATTAAGCGACGCTTATTTGAGGGCGGCGCTCTTTATAAAATATTTTATTTGTAAGCGATAACAAGAAATATTAGCAACAAAATGCAACATAAAAACACTGAAATGCCGGAGAAAAACGTCCCGAGGCAAAAAGACGTTTTCCTTCCGCGGTTGGGCGTCACGAACAATTTTTTCTGGCAGTGCTTCGATCAAAAATTAAAGTGGCTCAATACAGTTTAAAAAAATGGAAAATTCGCGATTTAGATGCGTACTTTTGGACAATTATTACTTGTCGATAAAATTCAAACTCTTTCGATGTTGTTTTATAAGGTACTTTCTGTTTATCAACAAGTAATAATTGTCCAAACTGAATACGCATCTAAATCGTGAATTTTCCATTTTTTTAAAAATTGTATTGAGCCACCTTAAGCGCCGCGTTATTGTGAATAAGTGCGGCGCTTATTCGAGAGAATAAGAGTGGCGCTTATTCGAGGGAATAAGAGTGGCGCTTATTCGAGGGCGGCGTTCTTTAATAATTTTGCTCCCATATGCGGTGCTCAATCGGTTAAACGAGTAAATATGGTATCTGTTATTCTTTCACTGTCATGCATAGTCGTACTCTTTTTGCCGCCAGATAATTCTACTTGTTCATGGGCGATAATAAGACTTTTGTACGGTTATAAAACCTGCTGATTTATCACCAAACAAGACGCCTGCTCAGGCGTTCACACTGACCTGAAAATGACGACATACGTACTATATGATGCAGTATACAAGAATATATAAGTCGTAAACCGCAAGCAAATTGTATGGATTTTTCAAAAAAATAAAATACCTTTTTGGGAGGCTATGGTGCAAATCTATAACTAGGAGTTACTATCGCAAGGAAAGTGCTGCCTTTTTGCCACATGATCTGAATGCAAAAGTTTGTATTTCTAAACAATTCTCTAAAGGGAAGTTTACTTTTGACCCAATGGCATGACCCAATGGCATCATTTCCACGTTTCATCATTGGTAGAATGGCAGCCCTGCACATGAAGGTTATATCCCCTATGTTTCCTGCTTGTTTCTCGTTCATCATTTAATAAGCAAGTGGATATTAAGGTCTACTAATCTATTAGCTGGCAACACACACTACTTTCAGTAATAACTCTGACTAACGCCAGACAAATTTACACCGTGTACCGCCAGACGATTTTACTTGTCAGTGGTAGAGTACTGTCAGTAAATAGTTTAACAAACACATCTGTCAATGTCTTTTATTAAACCATTAGCTGGCAATGCACCCTACTTTAGTATTTACTGTCTATCTACTTTAGTATTTACTGTGTAGACAATTGCACTGCCAGCAAAGTACTGCCTGTATTAAAATGGCTAATTTCGCGTCACGCCCCAATTCAAAATTTTACATTTTTACGATTTTTATTGTTTCTAATTATAAATCCTGCGGGGGCGTCAAATGCCGTCAAAACATTACACAAACCAAAACAATAATATATTTACTCGCAGCTTGGCCAAACATTCTGTATTTCGACTATTTCATATCGAGAAAAAAATTTGAATATCTTCTAAACTCTTCACAATTTGTTCAGAGTCAATGTGAATAAAATACGTCTTGTATTCAAGCGCTTTCATGTACAAAGTTTCGTTTGAATACGGCAGAGTAGAAATATTTATTTTGAATTTTTTAAAATATCGGGTTTTCACTCGCACGCACGCGCCACGTTGATGCTTGACCATATTTTATAGCCCGATCGATAGTGTGAAATAGTGTAGAAATAGTGTTTTGGATTCTGGTTCCAATAATACTATTACGAAAAAGATATGTCCAAACGGGCCGAAGTTTATATGTTCGGCGAAATGTATGGCTAGTTTACATTTACATTGTTCCTTATATTATGAAATATGATACCATACCTTACTTATATTAAAATTCGCGTCGAACTAATGTTATTGTATTATAAAGCAAATGAGAACCATACAATAAATGTTTTAGTCCTTGTTGGTATTTTGAACGCACCGCTTTATCTTTACTGTAGCGCACAAAGCTCTTCTCGCGGATTATATTTCGCGCAATACTAAAATTTGCGCACCCTGCGCTACACGAATTCTAGTACTGCGCGAATTTTAATACATGTACGTAAGATATATTGTCGACATTTGGCTAAAACTCAGGGGCGGATCCAGCCAAAAATCTGACCGTAGCATTTTCCAAGACCTCGCATAGCTAGGGGGGTCCGGGGGCATGCCCCCCCCGGAAAATTTTTGAAATTTGAAGCCCGGAAATGCCATTTCCTGCGTTCTGAGCACTGCATGTGACCATTAAATTTGTCCTCATTGTATTCATTTCTCAAGCAAAAATAAGCCGAAATGATCTCAAAATGTAAACTATTGCTCGCGTATATTTTAACATACGATATCGGTATGATACTCGTATCATACGCATATCATTATCAATTGAATACCGAAATGCGCGTATCATCTACGAACGCGTGTATCATACGAATACGCATATCATATGAACGCGCGTATGATATGAATACGCGTATCTTACGAATATATACGCATTACAAACAAATATTAGCGCGCTATAAAACACGATATATATACGCGCGTATCATAATTCGCGTATTAATTCCAATACATGCAGGTATACTGTACATACGCGCACAAACACTTTAATAAAGCGAAGTTAATAGCGAACACTATACAGTAAAAACTCAAATTAAAATATAATGTGCATCTCTTATCATTCATAAGGCTTACCTGACTGGAAATGATTCGTTTTACTATCTGATTTTATTTCTACCTCGACGCATATAAATCCTTTAGCTTTACGACGGCTTTCATTTCGAAATGCGCACAACCGTACTGTGAGTTCCCAATATCATGTTGTTGATGAGCCAAACACAAATATCAGATATTCCATCGTTCTGGAGCAGTAGCCAATTTCATGCCACCGTAGCAAACTATAGCATTTGCCCCATTCCGATTGGTTTGCTACGTTTGACCGTAGCAAACCAATCAGAATGCCGTATATGCCAATTTTCGCTACGGTCAGATTCGACCTTAATGAATCTGACCGTAGCGAAAATTGATCATATATGGGCAACACGCTACGGTGTATTTCTGAAGGATGATATTTTCTAAGCTATAGTCCATTGCGTAATGACCCGCAAACGGGCAATCACAACCGTATTTTCGGGCGGGAATTCTTACATATTATAAATGTCATCAATTTGTCAAAATAAAATGTTTTAGAACATATAAAACTAAATAAAATAAAACCTTGAAATATAAACAAGGAAAGTAAACAAAATATTGCTAAATTATATTTTAGATTGATTTTATGATCCATGTTAGAACTGGCCTATGGAAAATCTGACCGTAGCATATGCTACAGTTGCAACGGTCTAAATCCGCCCCTGAAACTATCGTAAGGAATTAGGAGATTTTGTTCAATTAAAACTACGTTGTGTAGTCAAATTGTCAACCTTAACTTGTCCTTGTTCATATTCCAATATATTGTATAAATTCGCTGCGTCCAAATTTTGGGGTTTTCGAGTCGTTTAATACAAAAAGAAAAACATTAATTCAACACGTAAGAAAGTCCAGAGTGCGACACAAAAATGAACACAAGTACACAACGGATGTTTATGAGTCTACAACGTATATTTATAGTTGTTTATTAAAGTCAAACTGTCAAACCTTTAACTTGTCCTTGTTAATTGTATTCCACCATATTCTATGTTAGGATAGGGAGATAGGGACTCAGGAGGTCTGAAACTGGTAATTGTGCGCGTGCGTACAAGTGTATGCGCTAATAAAGAAAGATGTACCACAAGCATGGCATGAGCCGGCTACTACGTACATAGATACGAGCTTGTTACGTGAAGAGTACATCAAGCAGTCGAGAAATCGATGGCATTCGAACCGATGGCATTTTGGCTTAATCGTTGCACCTTGAGCCTGCGATGCGCTAACGCAAATTCCATTTCTCGACGAAAAAACAGAAAAAGGGGGATTTAAGACACTTGACCTTTCAGGTCAGTGTAATTAGTTGAATCAGAATAATATGACACTATAGTTAGTTCTGAAATTATCACCAAAAATTATCGATGTCTTCAACATTATTGCACTGTTGAAGTAATCTAGACGAATCACAATCTGCATACAGCATTTGTGTCGATGATGCACGAGATATAAATTAGCCACTCATAATGGGCGTGTGTTTGTATGTTCTAAAAATTCTAAAACGTTTCAATTCTATTTCAGAGCCATCCTCAGAGATATGACTCGATAGCTCAATGGGTAGGGGGCGGTCTGAAAATCCGAAGATGCCAGTAATAAAGATACCATGCAGATGCAGAATAATACGAGACTAGTGTGTGTGTATATTTTATGCAACACAGCCATCTATGTTGCGTCTATATGTATAGATGTGTCTTTAAAGCAAGGATTATGCGCTAATAATTAGTAAAACTAAATGCTACTTACCAACTATATTTCTCACATGTTATCCAGAAATAATTTTTCGGCTCCGCAAACAATTTTTAGTTATGTGAAATTGAATGTGTCTCAGACTCCTGTTTTGTTGACTGTGCCTAAACAATAAGAATTGAAATTGAAAATTCAAGGTCACGTCCACCGGACTAATCAGTTATTTTGTCATCATTTTTTTCAAGCATCGATTGCTGTTAATGCTATAAGTTGTTAACAGGTCAACGCGGATAGCTTGCAAATTTTGCTTTAGAACTGAAGAAATAAGTTTGATAATTGAGACATTCCACTGTCTTCCATATCTGCATGAGTATCTGCATTATCTGTCATATCTGCATGAGAATTAAAGCGGTGTCAAAAACGTTGTTTTGTCCAGGATCAAACAATGGTGAAATGCGTACGAAAAGACAACCCACTGCGTCAATATTATAGTCGAGCATGATCAACAACGTTAGAAAACAATTTTCTTATTTGTGAGCAAAAATGAAGAGAGACATTCCCTGTGCTCGTGACGAGCAGATTACACTCTTTTTTATTAGCATGACAAAATTACTGGATGCTGATTGGTTGAGAGGAGTACAATTATTTCATTAGTACTGCAGTACAATTAATGATTTTTCCAAAACAAACAAAATGGTGAAAAGGTATTTAAACACAAATGAAATTGCCCTAGACGAACTTAAAGCAAAAGAACTATAAAAAAATACGGACAAAAGCACCAAATTTTGGGTGAAAGTCTAGCAGGACTGGGCTTTGGCGAGAGAATATGTTGTTGTTGACATTGAGAATTATCCAATTTTGTCATGATAATAATAAACAAGTAATCATGCGACGTTGCTCGTACAATTAGGGATTAATAGTATACTCGTGGTGTTTGGAAATTTTGCCAAATTGGACTCCCCGCCGCATCAGTCATCACTCGTACTATTAATCCCCAATTGTTGTTGCCATTGCATGATGATCTATACAAAAACACCCTGGTTATAATTTCTTGGTTAACCTAGAGATACCCCTACTTGAGTTAACTCCTATACCATAGTCTGGTTATAATCATGATCTATACAAAAACACCCTGGTTAGAATTTCTTGGTTAACCTAGAGGTACCCCTACTTGAGTTAACTCCTATACCATAGTCTGGTTATAATGTAACCAGGAATCTGGTTGTTTCACCAGCACGTCCTGGTTAAAATAGTCAGACTATGGCCATGTGGATATATACCTAGAGCTCCTACATGGATATATATCCACGTAGCACAGTCGGGATATTTTCACCAGGTTGTCCTGGTCAAGTTAACCAGGTTAAAATAACCAGCAAATTTAATCAGGAATATTAAGTCAACCCAAATAGGAAAATTTTAACCACAGTGTGTTAGAGACTACGGAGAGATCATGCACAGAAATATTCTCTATTGCAGACCATGGTTTTAAATATGCCTGCAGTCATGCAACCATCCATGAATTGTTCCGCCCACTGATATTGTAAAGACACATATCTTAGATTTTTCTTCACATTTTCAACTGAAAAATATTCCTGATCTATCAAGTTACCGTTTATTTTTTCAGAAACGTGATGATATCCCAGCTTCGATAAATGCTGTGGAGTGTTTACAGGAATTGCGATGCGTGTTATGCTCAACAAACAAAAGCTCAATATAACCTACAGCGCTCATAGATATCTTATATAAGATATCTATGACAGCGCTACATTGTTCGACTTGTATACCCTTCTTGAAATCAATGTTGTTGGCTCACAGCAGTCTATTGATTAGAGATATACGTTCTTGCAACCTGGAAACCACAGGACCCAATCTCTCTTTAGTAATTTCAAGTCAGCCCCATGTTTTTTTTTTCAGATATAATTTAGTTTTCAGGTGGTACTTCTTGTAAGACTTTCTCAGGCTTATATTTCCAAGATCCCTTGATATTCCAGCGAAATGTATACGCAATGAAATAAACAGAACAACTGCCAGCAGATTGAGAGATACAACTTCCTGTATATTGAGAGAGATAAAACTTCCTGCAGATTGAGAGATAAAACTTCCTGCAGATTGAGAGATACAACTTCCTGCATATTGAGAGATACAATTTCCTGTAGATTGAGAGATACAACTTCCTGCAGATTGAGAGATACAACTTCCTGTAGATTGAGAGATACAACTTCCTGCATATTGAGAGATACAACTTCCTGTAGATTGAGAGATACAACATCCTGCAGATTGAGAAATACAACTTCCTGTAGATTGAGAGATACAACTTCCTGTAGATTGAGAGCTACAACTTCCTGTAGATTGAGAGATACAACTTCCTGCAGATTGAGAGATACAACTTCCTGTAGATTGAGAGATACAACTTCCTGTAGATTGAGAGATACAAGTTCCTGTAGATTGAGAGATACAACTTCCTGCAGATCGAGAGATACAACTTCCTGTAGATTGAGAGATACAACTTCCTGTAGATTGAGAGATACAACTTCCTGTAGATTGAGAGATACAACTTCCTGCAGATTGAGAGATACAACTTCCTGCAGATAGATGAGAGATACAACTTCCTGTAGATAGAGAGAGATACAACTTCCTGTAGATTGAGAGGTACAACTTCCTGCAGATTGAGAGATACAACTTCCTGTAGATTGAGAGATACAACTTCCTGTAGATTGAGAGATACAACTTCCTGTAGATTGAGAGATACAACTTCCTGCAGATCGAGAGATACAACTTCCTGTAGATTGAGAGATACAACTTCCTGTAGATTGAGAGATACAACTTCCTGTAGATTGAGAGATACAACTTCCTGTAGATTGGGAGATACAACTTCCTGCAGATTGAGAGATACAACTTCCTGCAGATTGAGAGATACAACTTCCTGTAGATAGAGAGAGATACAACTTCCTGTAGATTGAGAGAGATACAACTTCCTGCAGATTGAGAGAGATACCAACTTCCTGTAGATTGAGAGAGATACAACTTCCTGCAGATTGAGAGAAATACAACTTCCTGTAGATTGAGAGATACAACTTCCTGTAGATAGAGAGAGATACAACTTCCTGTAGATTGAGAGAGATACAACTTCCTGTAGATTGAGAGAGATACAACTTCCTGCAGATTGAGAGAGATACAACTTCCTGTAGATTGAGAGAGATACAACTTCCTGCAGATTGAGAGAAATACAACTTCCTGTAGATTGAGAGAGATACAACTTCCTGTAGATTGAGAGAGATACAACTTCCTGTAGATTGAGAGATACAACTTCCTGCAGATTGAGAGATACAACTTCCTGCAGATTGAGAGATACAACTTCCTGCAGATTGAGAGAGATACAACTTCCTGCAGATTGAGAGAGATACAACTTCCTGTAGATTGAGAGAGATAAAACTTCCTGCAGATTGAGAAAGATAAAACTTCCTGTAGATTGAGAGATACAACTTCCTGCAGATTGAGAGATACAACTTCCAGCAGATAGAGAGATACAACTTCCTGTAGATAGAGAGATACAACTTCCTGTAGATAGAGAGATACAACTTCCTGTAGATTGAGAGATACAACTTCCTGTAGATTGAGAGATACAACTTCCTGCAGATTGAGAGATACAACTTCCTGCAGATTGAGAGATACAACTTCCTGCAGATTGAGATATACAACTTCCTGTAGATTGAGAGAGATACAACTTCCTGCAGATTGAGAGAGATACAACTTCCTGCAGATTGAGAGAGATACAACTTCCTGCAGATTGAGAGAGATAAAACTTCCTGCAGATTGAGAGAGATAAAACTTCCTGCAGATTGAGAGAGATAAAACTTCCTGTAGATTGAGAGATACAACTTCCTGCAGATTGAGAGATACAACTTCCAGCAGATTGAGAGATACAACTTCCTGCAGATAGAGAGATACAACTTCCTGTAGATAGAGAGATACAACTTCCTGTAGATTGAGAGATACAACTTCCTGTAGATTGAGAGATACAACTTCCTGCAGATTGAAAGATACAACTTCCTGCAGATTGAGAGAGATGCAACTTCCTGCAGATTGAGAGAGATACAACTTCCTGCAGATTGAGAGATACAACTTCCTGCATATTGAGAGAGATACAACTTCCTGCAAATTAAGAGAGATACAACTTCTTGCAGATTGAGAGATACAACTTCCTGTAGATTGAGAGATACAATTTCCTGCAGATTGAGAGATACAACTTCCTGTAAATTGAGAGAGTTACAACTTCCTGCAGATTGAGAAATACAACTTCCTGTAGATTGAGAGATACAACGTTTCGAGCGAAAGCCCTTTGTCGCTGGGAATTTAGTAGCCTTATACAGTCAACTCGCGTTATATAGCGGACACTCTGGGGACGAGACCGTAATAGCGAGAGTCTGCAATAGCGGTGTGCGATGAAAATAATCCTACTTCAGGTTGTAAAATGTCACTACAACGACGTATTACTGTTTTTTTTCTTTTAAAATGTCGAGTTTCTTTCAATTTCTAGTTTACGTTTACAAGTCAAAAATATGTATTCAAAAAATATTTTATTCCAAAACTAAAAATACAATGGTAACGTGAATCAGTGTCAAATGCCTTGTCTTTCCTTCAGTAACAAAACTCCTGGGGCCGGTTGTATAAAACTCTTAATCACTTTTTTAATCACTATTTTGTAGTTAAATAGTGATTAACTCTCAAATACGCGCTTCTTATTGGATGACGTTTCCACTAACTATAGTTAACTTTAATCACTTTTTTATACAACCGGCCCCAGTAGTAAACCTACAAGAAGTCAGAAATATCAGCATATTTTATACAGTTTCATGTCTAGTTCGCTTTCTCTCTAGTGCGCTTTGATGTGATCTTTCACTTACGGCATTCTCGCTTACATTATCCCAATTATCCGCGCAAGCAGAGAAAACGTGTTTACGAATGTGTACTTTCCGCGCTGAGGAAAGAAAAGCTCTACGTCCCATACACGTTCAAGGACCTTCAAGAACTTCTCGGTAGCTCTTCAGCTTGCTTGTTTCAATGACAGTGGGGTGCCGCAAGGCGACAGTTGACTGTAGTGGCCACTAAGGCTACTAACTTAGTTAACTTTATAAAATTTATATGATCTGCCATTCTGCCTATTGAAATCAAACAGGAGCGAAACTATGGCAAATTCCTTAGACTGCTAAGTAACATTTTAAATAATAAGTTTGTTTAGAGTTTTAAGTTTTTTATAGAACTTATACTCAATCTCATCGATTGTTTTAGGGTTTTTATAGGATTGTATTTAGAGTATTTGTTTGGTATTTCTATTTTACATGTAAATAGAGGACATATTTTGATAACAGTGTCATTAAGGCCTGATTCCACGGGCGCTTTCTTTGGCGAAATGCGAAAAATTTCGCGCGAAATGAATTAGGTGCATGCGCAGTGAAGATAGATTAGGCTTCGCGAGAAAAAATTTCGCTTCACCAGTGAGTAGAAGTCAGTTCTTCTCACTGCGAAAATTCAATGGAATCGTTCATGTGCAACCATTCGCATTTCACAGACCCGATTTCTCGCGAGGAATCTCGCCGTCGTGGAATCAGGCCTTTAGAACACTGAAATGTTTTTAATCCTCTGTAAAGATGGAATAACAATAACGACGAAGGGCCTTTGCACGAAACGGCGAAGTTCTTCTTATATTTTCACGTAGTTGTATCCCAGTGTGCAGCTGTCTTGTTATCGTCGCCTACCAGATTTACATCACGAATGAAATAAACAACTAAATGTTATACTTATACACGAGCTTCAGTGTGGCTGAAAGATCGAACCATCTGAAGAAAAATAACTTCCAGAGGGTCTTTGTTAGAAGTTTCATAGTATTGTAAATATATATTAATTACTGAGACGTATTATTCACAGTCCAGTATTTCGGCTACGTTACATGGAACTAAATTTAATTGGTTCGGCAGCCCGTTGTACGTAGAACTACGCCTTAAATCGCAGTACATATAGTACGTGCTAATAATTAACAAACTGACCATAAATGCTGTAGCTACTTACCAAGTATTTCCGTACTCTGTTATCCAGAAATGACTTCTTGGCTTCACAAATTTTTATGTGGAGTTAAATGTGTCCGTCTCCTGTCGCGTCTAGACAATAAAGAAAGGGATGGTCACGTTCGACTGATAAATAAGTAAGCTAATTCAAAGTCTCTACTGCGCATCCAAATGACTCGTATTTTGCGTGGGGCCGTAAATTGCACTTGAATCATAACATGTTTACGAAGACTTCAAAATGTGCACGTCATTCATAATTCATGCTTCACTGACCTAAAGCAACAATATAGAACTGTCCACTAAATAATTTTCGCACCAACTGCCATATTTTGTTAATGTGTGAAGCAAAATAACGAAAGCTACATTTATATAATTAAGTAAGGGAATAATTTTCCATAATTACTCCGTACAGAAACTAATTGTTCTTTGAGCATGCACTTTTGCATATTCAGTTGAAGGATATTGTAGATGGAAATTATCGATTGGAAATTTATATACATTTATTAGACCTGCAGAAAATCCAACTTTAGGTCCCTGGGAAGAATCGAACCGGCGATTCCGGTGCAGTGCTCTAACCAACTGAGCTAGATCTAACCAACTGAGCTAGATCTAACCAACTCGAGGTAGATCTAACCAACTCGAGGTAGATCTAACCAACTCGAGGTAGATCTAACCAACTGAGCTAGATCTAACCAACTGAGCTAGATCTAACCAACTGAGCTAGATCTAACCAACTGAGCTAGATCTAACCAACTCGAGGTAGATTTAACCAACTCGAGGTAGATCTAACCAACTGAGCTAGATTTAACCAACTGAGCTAGATCTAACCAACTGAGCTAGATTTAACCAACTGAGCTAGATCTAACCAACTGAGCTAGATCTAACCAACTGAGCTAGATCTAACCAACTCGAGGTAGATCTAACCAACTGAGCTAGATCTAACCAACTCGAGGTAGATCTAACCAACTGAGCTAGATCTAACCAACTGAGCTAGATCT